ATCTTTCATTAGCTGAGCGCGTCGCAATATTTAGTGCGATGTGAGGAATAGTGTTGAACAGATGTTTGATGAGTAATGTTTCGTTTCCATGTGATCTTCGATCAGCTGATCGAGTCGAAATGTTTGCTTTGAAGTGAGCAAATAAGGTGTTGCGATTTATCATGTTTGTCTGTGCTAAATGTGCTAAAAGATTTTTTTCCGAACTGGAGGTGTTTTTGATTGAATTTTTTATTGTGTCAGTTGTGTATTACTTAAAATAAATTTATAACTTGAAGAAACACAAGATAACGCACAAAGCGCAGTATGATTGAGTTTGGTTGTTGGACTTAGTTTGGTTGTTGGACTTAGTTTGGTTGTTGGACTTAGTTTGGTTGTTGGACTTAGTTTGGTTGTTGGACTTAGTTTGGTTGTTGGACTTAGTTTGGTCGTTTAACGTACTTTGCTCGTTCGGCTTGCTTTGGTTGTTCGACTTAGTCTCGTCGTTCAACTTACTGTTGGCACCATGGTGATTCTCCGCGAAGTAATGGTGAGTGTGTATGAAATTTTGAAATATAGATATCGCTGGTGTACTTTGTGTATTATTTAAAAACTAGTTTAAAAATAAATTAATAAACGTATAAAATTAAATAAAAATATTGTTTTAAATTTTGGAACATTAAGTGCTATTAAATAATATATAATTGGAGATAAAAATACGCGAGAAACATTATCCAATGAAATATTTTATTCAATGGATGAATGTCTTCACCAATGGAAAAAATATGGGAAGTTTTATGTGGTTGAGATAATCTACATTCACTCGCACGTACATGCCAGAGATGTGCACCGCTCGCGCGGGTGCGAAGTGCGCGTGCGGAGCGGCCGCACCGCTTGCGCGGTCCGTCCGTCCCGCTCTGAGGAGTATAACTTATATGAGTGCGGCCGCACCGCTTCTGAATTTTGCGAGCGGGACTGGTGCGGAGCGACCGTTCTCGTTTTATTTACCGTCCGAGCGACCGCTTGATCTTAATTCGAACGTTTTGTTAGGGAATATCTTCTGAAGTTGAAAGGGACGAACCTAAACTATAATTAATGTCGTACAGCAATATTGGTGACTTTTTTCTCTTAAATAATAATGATAAGTAACAAAGCATTGACTTCGTACTCATATTTGATACAAAGAGCATTTTAAAATCCTATGCCGGATGGATTTTGATTCTCAAAATACGTTTGTATTATACTGGAGGTTCGATGGCACCATTTATAGATTTTTTTGTTACTCCTGGCAATACAAATACTATATAGATAACATGTTGACTTCAACTTTCTCTTTTCCATTACAATTTTATATTTTAAGTTGTCTATTTTTCTTTTTCTAATATTTGTATAAATAGCTACAAGTGTATGAAATCCTCGGACAAAAATGACTATTTTTAATTAATCTGAAGTATGAAAATCGGCAGAAAAAATTTATTTGATAATTTCTTCTCTCAAATATAGCAGTTTTATCATCACCATTTTTTCTTTATGGTATTCATGTTATGCCCATAGTTATCTGATAAAATTAGCTAAATTCCCTTCCGTAATAGAAGCACCCGTGAGCTTCTAAACTTTACACTGTTCAAAGCTTTTGGAGGATACTTCTATTATCGGGTGGGCTACTAACATGCCTTCTTAAAGAAATTTCGAAAAGTATATAAAGAAGTCATTGTTTCAATCATTTTGGCTACCTATTTGGGATAAGTTCAAAGAATCTTACAACACTGGAATTTACTACAAATATACAAAAGAACATTATTCTAAAGGGTGATTGAAAAGTAACTCCAGATTTTAAATCTTTTCTTACTCTCAAACAACAAAAGATATCGTCCTGATTTTTTCACCATTTTGAAACATGCACTATGGTATTTTATTCTAGATGAAAAAAATCGATTGGTCGCTTGGCTATCTAAGAGCAAACCCAGATTTTGTCTTGACAACATCTAGAACAAACTCATTAGTTTTAGTAGTTTATTATTCTTGTGCTAGAATCAGGATGTGAGCATATGGGATTAGGTGAGCATTTTTGCATTGTCCGAACATACATAATAACTTCACAATTACATCCAGATGCATACCTGACACCTATACGCACACTCACACCCAAACCCTAGTTCTACTATCAGAATAATAAACTTCTAAAACTAATGATTTTTTTTCCAGATGTTCTGAAGGCAAAATTCTGGTTTACACTTAGACAGCCAAACGATCAATCGATTTGTTTCATCTAGAATAAAATACCATAGTGCATGTTTCAAAATGGTGAAAAAATCAGGACGATATCTTTTGTTGTTTGAGAGTAAGAAAAGATTTAAAATAGGGAGTTACTTTTCAATCACCATGTATGTCATACATATACCAAAAAACATAAGTACTATTTCATGTAATGAATTTTAAAAAAGAATGAGGTGAAAAAAATTGATGTACAAATACACATAATTAGACTACTTCTTCCAAAAGAAGTTTAATGTACCCAGGTGAAAGAATCCGATTGTACGATTTTGTACGATTACCTCAAAGCCACCATTTCAGATGAAATCGTACTGTACGATTCTTGTACGATCTTAATGTCAGTCTTTGTACGATCTTATAAGATTCATACAAGATCCTTTAGAGCTTCCGACAACGTTATATACCTCATTTTCTTCCCTTCGGGTTCTATACCTTCCTTTCTCAGGCAGTGTTTTATCTTAAGCACACATAAATGCAACAAATCACAATTATTTATTTACTTAATTTGATACATTTAGTCAAGATAATTTTAATTCATCAATATTATATTGACTAAATGTATCAAATTAAGTAAATAAATAATTTTCATTTTAATTTATAACCATCAAATTCAATAAATCCATTAAATCAAATAATTAATTTTAATTTTAATCCATAATCAATACATTCTCATAAATGCATCAATATCAATAAATAAATAATTATAATTTCATACCATAACCAATAAATTCACTAAATGCATCAATATTAATAAATAAATATAATTTCAATTCGTAATCAATAAATCCATTAAATGCATCAATTTAAATAAATAAAAAAATTTTAATTCATAATCAATAAATTCTCATAAATGCATCAACTTACATAAATAAATAATTATAATTTTATTTCATAATCAATAAATTCGACAAATGCATCAATATTAATAAATAAATTTAATTTTAATCCATAACTAATAAAGTGACATAAACGCATCAAATCAAATAAATAAACAATTTTGGTTTTAATTAATAAACAATAAATTTATATAGCTACATCAACTGAAATAAAAAAATAATTTTAATTTTAATACGTAACGAATAAATCCACTAAATACACCAATTGATATAAATAAATACGTAAATAAATAATTTGAATCTTAATGTATAAACAATCAATTGACTAAATGATCGGTCGAAATAAATAAATAATTTTGATTTTAATTCATAAACCAATAAATCCACTAAATACATCAAATTATCTAAAAAAAAATCTTTTATTAAATGAATGTTTATTGTGTCTGGCTTAATCGTTGTTGCTGTCTAAAATAAAAATAAATAACTGATTTAAAGTAAAAAAATGCTTACTTTATTTGGATCTGCTGTGGTTATCATCTAAAATAAAAATAATGGATAATTTAAATTAAATCAATACTTGCTTTGATTGAACCAATTATTCATATGATCTAAAATAAAATAAAAGATAATTCAATTAAAATAAATACTATAAATCAACACTATTATATAAGTTTACCTTCAGTTTGAATTGTAAAACTTTCAAATGTTTTACTGTTATCCCTATTCAAATAATTTGAACTATTGCTGGATGTTAATTCTTGTTCTTGAACAATTGCTTTTGACGTAAAAAATGCACTATTATTTACATCTTGTAAATATTCACCGTGTAAATATGGATCATAATTTGTGATAATGGAACTACCTGTTCCATTTGTATTATTGTACAAAGTACTAATTGAATCATTCCATTTAAATTCATCATTTTCTTCTTCAACTGTGTAATGGTTAGCTGTTGTAGTGAAACTTTCAACAATATTCTTTGCTAAATCAGTATGATATTTGTAATTTTTACGTTGTAAATCTAATCTTTTCTTCTTTCTCTGACGACCTATCTCTATCAAATCATTGATTCTCTTTTGTTGATTCATTTTAATAAAAATTTACTAATCACATCTACACTCTAAAAAAAAACGTTTTCTCAGAAACCGAAACCCCTTCGGAAACCGTTTCGGAAACCCTTGAACGTATCCGGGAAGGTTTTCGGACTCATGTTAAGTTTCTGAAAATACCTTCAGGGTTTCCGAGTATCCGGAAACCTATGAGTTTTCGAAATATAGGTCCGGAAACCCTCAATCGTATTCTCAGAAACCCTGGTGCTCTTTTTGAAAACCGAAAGATATCCCCGGAAACCTTCTCTGATTTAAAAACCTTCTCGAAAACCTTTGCGTTTCCCATATTTTTTTATCGGAAACCTTTTTGGGTTTCCGAGCATCGAAAACGGTGGAAACATTTCGAAAAAAAAAGCATAGTTTTCGAATATCTATTGGAAACCCTTCAGGGTTTTCGAATTTTCAGAAAACTCTTGCGTTTCCGAAAAAAAGCTCCGGAAACCTATCCAGTATTCTCAAACATAGAAATAGCATTCGGATGTCTTCTTTTTGATTCTAATGTTACGATCGCTATTTTAGAAGTCTAGGAATTGCACGACATGCATGATATAAACCTTATTCAATTTATGTGGAATTGTTGTGTAAAAGCATTAGAACTCTGAGAATTCAAAAGAAAATACATTGTTCCTAAGAAAATTTCGACTTGTTATTACATTTTTCAATACCTAAAAATTTGAATGGATTACGACAAATTTTACTGTGGGGATCGAAGAGCTGCATTAAATTGCCAGATTAATCAAAGAATGCCGTCTTTCTCCTTCTTCATTCATTTATGTTTCATCCAAGTACAAGCATTATCATCCTTATCAACAGATTGCAACGAATATAGTGCAAGTTTCGGCCGTTTGAGGATCATTTCAACCGCCATATACAGAAGAGTGATAGGAGAGGAACGATGGAAAACACGAAGAAACCTTCATTTGCGAGATAATGTCAAGCAAATACCGGGTTTCTTGGAACTTTTGCAACATCATTATTCTCCATAGATCGCCACAAACGTAAATGATAAAATCTTAAATTTTTTCAAAACATGCGTCCTGATATTCTGTACAATAATCAAAAAACAGATTCTCTTGGCTTGTGTTAATAGATTTGGAGAGAGCTAAAGAAAAGATGTATCACATGCTGTAGTTTCTCACTTTGATATCGATGTAAATGCTTTAAAAAAACACATTTACTATCTAAATCAAATCAAATGTAAAAAAACTTATTTCTGAATACCATCATCTCGATAAAGTAAGCATCTTGATGTTCGAAAATAGTCGGACAGAATGAAACGTTTGCGAAATGGGATTGTTGTTTAGCTGAAAAAAAAACAAACTCTGGACAGTGAGACACTATAGACTCTCAGACCTTTTTCCTTTTAGCTCTTTCCAAATATATTAGCACCAGTCACAAGAATTTCTGCTTTCACCTATTGTGAAAAATGCCATGGTGTATCGTTTCAAAAATATGTTGACGTTTTTCTGAATCATCTGTTTGAACACATAAACAATGTAAAATATCTTGGAAGCACTCTGAAAAAAAAACAGTAGATATTTATTTCTTCACTTCGCAGGATATAGTTTCTCCAACTGATTCGGTAAAAGGTCTGCAAAAGTAACGAGAATACGAAAACTACACTTCAGCAGTAACGAAACTAAAGATCCCAAGACTACAAATGACATCAACATTCTGGGTTCGACAGCAATACGAACACCAGAAGTCAGACTGCCTTAAAGACTTTGACTTAAATACACAAAAAGCTTTCATCACTATAGGATTCCACTTTAATTCATGACTCTGAGTTCGATAGAATTTCAGACCTAATAACATTCATTAACTTTATGGCCACGGCTTTGAGACACGTGAAGACTTAAAAACTTCAACTGCCTTTATGTTGTTAGCTTTGAGAGATGTCAAGATCCCAACACACAAGACTGATTTTACGACTCTTGCTCAAAAAAGCCATAAAGACTCGATGACTAAGACTGACTTCGTGACTATGATTTTCAAATACAGAAAGACAACAGAAACAAGACTAACTTTTTCACTCAGTCTTTCGGAGGAAGACATGAAGACTATAGCAATAAGACTGACAGCACGACGCCCGTTGTACGAGACATGAACACTCTAGAAATCAGACTAAATTAACTCTTTGAGGACCAGGGGACATACGTTCTCTCACCTAGTTTTCAGTAAAGAAAATGTTTGCTCCATATTAAACTGTTATAATCTTCAAGGTAAATAGGTCGCCTACCTGGCATCTCATGCAGGTCTTTTCTCCCTTTCTTCCTATCATATAGATCCTTCTCAGATGTCTTCCTTTCTTCCTCCTACTATATAATAACGCATGATTTTACCCTCTCTTTTCTCGATACATTGTTATGAGGTTTTATCTGATCATTTTGAGCCAAATATAACAGGTTGATTGAAGAACCGTTTTTTAATTGAAAAAAAATTCAGTCCTCAAAAGGTTAATGACATTCTATTTAGGAGACTTCCAACTTCTACCAATTTCACTGACTTTATGACCGTGAATTTGGAAAACAAGAATATTTGAGGGATTTCATCAAGTTCATATCTCTGTCTTTCACAAGATTTAGCACTTTGACTGACATCATATCTAAGTCTTTGACAGATTTAAACACTTTAGGAATTCAGCTGACAATATGAATCTGGAACTAACAGTCATATACACTTGTGAACTTTCACTAGTTTCATAATATTCGCTTTAACAGACATAGACACTGAAGGTCTTCGACGAAATTCATGAGTTTACATTAAGGAGCTTTTCTCGTCTCTTTATACTATGGATACATGTTCACCAATAGTGGAACTCAAATCAAAATACGAGAGTTAGATTATGGGGTTATAATAAGAGAATACACATAGGTTAAGGTGTTAGAGCAAAGAGATACCATAGGAGGTAGAACAAGCGCCTAGATTAAGTGATTAAAAACGGGGGATACATTACGCGATTAGAATAAGGGGATACATATAGAAAAAGGACATGGAATAAGGGGATGGGATAAGGGGCTAGAATAAGAGAATACAATGAGGGCTTCAATATAGACTAAGGACTTTGATTAGAGGTTAAAATAACGCGTCAGATTATGGGGTTAAACTAACGGGGCAAATATAGACGAAAGGGTTAGGTTAATGGTAAGGATAAGGGTTACACTAAGCGATAGAATAAGGCATTAGATTAATGGGATAGAATGCGGGTTAGAATAAGGGGATTGAATAAGCTATAGAGCAAGGGATTAGATTAAGAGATTAGATTAAGGAATTAGAATAAGGGATTAGATTAATGGGTTAGAATAAGGAATTAGATTAAGGGGATAGAATAAGGGATAGAATAAGGGATAGAATAAGAGATTAGATTAAGGGATTAAAATAAGGGATTTGATTAAGCAGATAGAATAAGGGATTAGATTAAGAGGTTAGAATAAGTGATTAGATTAAGGGATTAGATTAAGGGATTAGATTAAGGGATTAGATTAAGGAGATAGAATAAGGGATTCGATTAAGGGGATAGAATAAGGGATAAAATAAGGAATAGAGTAAGGGGTTAGATTAAGGGAATAGAATAAGGGATTAGAATAAAGGAATGGATATAGATTGAGGACTTAGATTAGGGGTTAGAATAAGCGGTTACAATAAGGCGACAGATATAGACTAGTGAGTGGTTTTGTGATTAGCTTTTGGACAGCTATAGAAGTTTTTTGAAGTCTTGGAAACCTGCACTGCGTTTCCGAGATCTTGAGGTT